GGGGAGGACAATCACCATGAAAGATGAAAGTTTAGATTAGGGAATGGGGGTCATAATGGAGAATGGGTGGTCAGGACGGGGCACAGAGTCAGATTGGGAGAAAGGAGTAAGATTGAGGAATAGAGTACTGAAGGTAGAGAAAAGAAAAGAAAGCTAAAGATTAAGGGATGAAGGTGAGTAGAGAGACCCAGGTGGGTATGAGAGAAGGTCTTGGGGGTCACCTGTCCCATGGATGTGGCTGTGAACTGGAAGCTCCCCTGTATCATACGCAACAAGGACAGGAACTGTTTGTCCTCATATTCAAATCGATCACCAAAGACAATGGAGCTGATGACATTGGAGACCATGCGGCTCAGGAAGAAGGTGGGGTCAATGGCAGCTCCTGTAGTGGAGCCAGGTCAATAGAGGCACAGAGATAAGGACTCTTGTTGTTTGTCCTTCTTTCTTCAAATAGGAGCATGACCTCTGGGAGGTGATGCCATGACATGCAAGTGAGTTGGATTGAAGGGAGGAAGGGCTGTGCAAAGTCACCAGTCTCACTTTCTTCTTTTCTAGAGTCACCTGGGTCCAGTGGGAAGATATCAATCAAGATAACTGGACATGGCACTGGATGTAGTGGGAAACCTTGACCTCTTCAAGCTAAGGTCTTTAACAAGTGTCAGTTTGACTGAGGCAATGCCCAGTCAAGGATTAAGGCTAGGTAAGAATTGAGTTAGAGAATGGCCTCTTTTACCCAGTCAAAAAAAAAAATCAATCTGAGAGGGGAAGACCCTCAGGGTTTCTAGCCAAAACAGAAACAATTACTATTTACATTCACTCTGAGCCAATCAGGCCCAAACCATGACCAAGTAGGACTTGGCCAGGAACCTATTGTTAACCAATCAAAGAAAGCCTAAGTGATTTGGATTTAAGGCATAGTCCTTAAAAAAGAAATGTCACTTATAAACCTTGCAAGTTACTGCAACTTATATATCTTGCAAGGTTTCAGAGATCAAAATTTATATTCCTTTGGGCATAGAGATAAAGAAGCACAGTAGAATGATAAAGAGAACAAAGGCAGAAAATCAAGAGGAGTACAGAAGAAACAGAGATAAAAAGGGCCATAAACCAGCACAGAGGTAAAAAGGCCAATAGATACATTGAGGCAATGTTTGAGAGAGATCAAGATGAAGTAGAAAAAGTGAGGTAGCGATGTGTGTTTCTGGGGAGGGAGATTCATAGAGGGTGGATAGGGATACAAAAGGAGGGAGGCAGAGAGAGAGAAAGAGACAGAGAGAGACAGAGACAGAGACTCAGTTTTCTGGTCCTCCAAAGGACAGTCATTATCCCCATCCCCAAATCCCATAGAGCAGGGACATTAGATGCTAGCAGCACAGTTGCCCCCTCCCTCCTCTCTCTCTCACTCTCTCTCTCTGTCTCTTTCTTTCTCTCTCTCTCTCTCTTTCTCTCTCTCTCTCTCACACACACACACACACACACACACAGTCACACTCAAACACACCCACACATCTTCCCCACTTCTTTGGACTCTAGGGTTGCCCTGACACCTGAAATGAAATGAAACTGAGCCCCACACAGAAGAGGTGACTTACTCAGGTAACAAATGGTAGAGTTGGGATCTACACCTAAGTCTTCTGATTCAGTTCCATTTCCATGACCCCAGGCTACCTCCCCTTATCTAGGATGTCAGCTGGAAGGGACTTTCAAGGTCATCTAGTCCAAAATCTTTACAGATGTGATCAATGTCACCTATTCAGTGATTGATAATGTAGAACAGCACACAGAGAGAGCATGGACCTGAAGTCATTGCTGTTCATTCATTTCGGTCATGTCTGATGCTTTGTGACCCCATTGGAAGTTTTCTTGGCAAAGATACTGGTTTGCCATTTCCTTCTCCAGTTCATTTTGAGGAAATGGAAGCAAACAAGTTTAACTCTCTTGCCCAGGGTCACACAGCTAGTAAGTGTCTGAGACCAGATTTGAACTCAGCAAGATGAGTGTTCCTGATATCAAGTCCAATGCTCTATCCACTGCACCACCTAGCTGCCCTACTGAAGCCATGAAGGCCTGAGCCCAAATCTGACCTCAGACACTGAGTAGCTATGTAACTGTGGGGACTTACTTCACCTCTGCCTCAGTTTCCTCATCTTTAAAATAAGGATAATAATAGCACCTACTTCCCTAGAATTCTTGTGAAAATCAAATGAGAAAATGTAAAGTACTTCAGAATCTTCAATGAGCTATATAAATGATTTCCTTTATTGTTGTTGAAAAAAACCCAACATTTCTCCTTTTAGAGGGAAGAAAAAACTCAAAGTCAGGGTGAGGAAGGGACTTGTCCAAAGTCACAGAGTCAGTGAGAGGAAAGCTAAAGCTTTAATCTGAGTTGCCTGGATCAGGGAGGTCTGAACCCAGACACCAAGAATCACAGAATCATTGATTTAGATGTGGAAGGGAAGCTAGAGGCCACCATACAGTGCATCCTTCTCATTTTACAGAAAAGGAAACTGAGATCCAGAGAAGTGAGCTCAAAATCACAAAGCAAGTAAGTAGAGGAGCTTGAGTATGGTAGTCAGGACTATTCACCACACCAGGATATAGAGATCAGCTAGTGTCAGATGCAAGGAAAAGTAAGTCACAGGGCACAGAGGTAGGTTCTTGGGGGTCAGAGATGACAACAGCCAAATGTGGGGGCAGGGAGACAATGTAGTTGATGGCAGCTCAGTGGTGCATTAGTTAGAGCACTGGACTTGGAATTAGGAAGACTCATCTTCATGAGTTCAAATCTGGCCTCAGTCACTAGTTGTGAGACCCCCTGGGCAACTCATTTAACTTTGCCTCAGTTTCTTCATCTGTAAGATGAACTGAGAAGGAAATGGCAATCCACTACAGTATCTTTGCCAAGAAAACTCACAAAATAGCATCTTGAAAAGTTGGATATGGTTGAAATGATTGAAAAACAGCAGCAACAATATAGTTGATGACGACCTGGCCCAAGGCTGTGGAATATTCCTAAGGCCCACTCACCTTTTGTGCCTCGGAGAGCCTCACTGAGGAAGCCAGCTTCTTCTTGGATGCGCTCTTCAATGCCTTTCTTGCCCATGCCAAAATCCCTGAGAGTGGTGATGGAGAATCGTCGGAGTTGCCGGGCACTCTCACCATTGCTGAAAGCAACACCTGGAGTTGGCAAGAAGGAGGGAAGGAGCTCAGGGAAGACTGGAGATCCTGCAGGATCTGAAGTGCTGGCATGGGATCAGAGGGGATGTCCAGGGAGAGACCAGCAGAGTAAGAGAATACAAGAAAAGATACAGAGGCCAGGAGGAACAAAGAGAAATGGGGAGACATGGGGAAGTAAGGGCACAAGGGGAGGTATGGAGACAGAGAGATGTAGGGAGAGACAGAGAAATGGAGAGATGGGGGAGGTGAGGAGACAGGAATAGAAGAATGGAGAAGAGAGAGAGAGAGGAGAGAATTAGGTAGACAGGAAAGGACACAGAAATGGAGAGGGGGGAGAAATGGGAAGACAGAATATGGAGAGTAGGGAAGAAGGTGAAGCAAGGAGAGACAGAAAATGATAAAGAGATGGATGGAGGAGATGGGAATATAGTGAGAGAATGAGAAACAAGGGAACATGGGGAAATAAGTAGAGACACAAAGAGAGATATAGAAGGACTGGGCTGATGGGGAGAGAGGAAAAGACAGAGAGGTGGAGAGATAGAGATGGAGGAAATGGGAAGGGAGTTAAGAGAAAGAGACAGATGGAGAAATAGGGACATATGGAGGAAAGGACAGATACAGAGAGATGGGAGAGATAGTGAAACAAAAAAGAGAAAGCTAGAGAGATGAGAGATGCGGGGAGCCAAGGAAAGGAAGAAAAATGGGGAAGAATAGGGCAATAAGAAGATAAATCAGGAGATATATGGGAGAAATGGGGAATTAGGGAGGGAAATGAAGAGGCTGACAAATGGAGTGGTATGGAGAGGTGATTAGACAAGGAGAGATAGAGAAAGAAATGGAGAGATAGAGACATAGAGAAAGACAGAGTGAAAAATGAGGAAGGTGAGAGAGAGAGTCATGGAGAGTCAAGGGGAGATAATGAAAGGGAGACAGAGAAAGATAGAAGGTGAAGAAAGGTGGAGGAAGGAAAAAGAAAAAGTGTGGAGAGGAGAAACAAGGGAGAGGTGGAGAAACACAGGGAGAAGAGGATACAAGAATAGCCAAAGAGATAGATAGTGAGAGACCAAGAAAGATGAAGAGACAAAGCACTGGAGACAGATGGAAAACCATGGAGACAGATGGGGAGACAGAAATGGAGAAACAGAGAAAGAAAGAGAAACAGGGAAGAGCAGATGGTTGAGGGAAGCAATGGTAGTCAAGGGAAGGGAAGGGAAGGAACAGAAGCTGTAGGAACCCTGGTCAGCAGCCTAGAGGAGGCCACATTGGCCTGGTCCCTGCCCAGACACTCACCAAATCCCTTAAAGAGCCAGTCGAAGGTGGCCTGCTTCCCCCTACCAGAGAACTCTTCTGCTTGGTCAACCAGTGCCTCCTTTACAGCCTCATATCCAGTCAGGACTATGATGGTTCTCGATCCCATGTGTACTGTAAACACGGGTCCATATTTTTCCCCAATCTGGAGGGCATGGAGAAGGCAGAAGAACCAGTGTTTTGCCTCTCAGCCCCGTGAGTTCTTCCCTCTTTGTTCTCTCCCTGAAAAATAACCTTTCACCCATCTCCTCTCAGCAGTTTTGAAAAAAAATTCCAATTGTGACGTAGGTATCAGTAACAAAATACAAACATTTCAGCACACAAAGACCGAGGAACAGGATTATGAATCCTTGTTGTAAACAGTTTATTTTTAAATAAACTTGTATGAGTAAATATATATGTAAAATATGTAACTATATATACATTTTCTTTTCTTTTTTTTTTGAAAGGCAGCATGGTGAGACCTTGGTTCAAGTTGTTCCTCAGATATTTACTAGCTGTATGACCCAGAGTAAGTCACTTCACCTCTTTCTCTGCCTCTATCTCTGAATTTTCTCATCTGTAAAATGGGGGGTTTGAACTCAATGGCCTCTCATGTTATTTCCAACTCTAAATCTACGAACCCATGATCCTCTGTTTAACAAGATAGTGACAAAATTGCTCTGGTTTTTCCTCCTTTGCTTGTTTTTTTTCTGTGACAAGTCAAGGCAACAAGCATTTATTAGACACCTACTGTGTGCCAGGCACTGTGCTAAGCACTACAGATAGAAAGGGAAAGATACTCCCTGCCCTTGAAGAGCCCACAGTCTAACTGGGCATATCTTTTCCAAACCCCTCACCTATACCGGGCTTCCTTAAACAATTCTGCAAAGTCACAAGAAATTAATGAACCCCGTGTTCAAGGCAGAGAGACCATGTCTGATGCTGCACCTCTAATGCCTGTTTCTGTTGAGAGTTCTCTCTGGGCTCTCATCTCTCCATCTCCCACCCTCTCCCTTGGGTCCTCTGTCTCAAGCCCTCAGGCTTGCTCTGCTGCTCTCTTGGTCTCTTCTCCACCATTCCCCCTAAATTCCTCTCTTGCAGCCCAGCTCTGCCCATCCCTTCCCATGAAGAGGTTGTGTGCTTTTCTTGGAGCCTCTTTCCATAAGATCATAAAACTTAGCCCGTAGAGACCATCTAGCCCAACCCAGCCATGTTACAGAGAAGGAAACTGAGGATTAGAGAGAGGAAGGGAACTTCCTAAGGTCAGCAGTGAGAAGCAGAGACTTTTTTCTGCCTCCATCTCTGTCTTTTTCCATCTCTCCTTCTCTCTAACCCTCCCAGAGTCTCCCTCCAGCCACCCTGGAACCTGCTTATGCATATGCATCTCTCTGTGTGTCTGCCTCTTTGATGCTTCTATTTCTCTGTCTCACTCTATGTCTCTGAGTCCATCTCTCTGTGTCTCTGTCTCTGCTTCTGAGTGTCTCTTTTGTGTGTTTCTGATGTACTCTGTGATTCTATCCCTGTCACGGTTACTCTCTGTATGACTCCTTCTCTATTACTGTGTCTCTAACTGTTGTCTTTGGATCTCACTGTCTCTTTGCTCCTCTGAGTGTCTTTGTCTGTAGATCTCTCTCTCTTTCTCTTTGCTCTTTGTTGCTTCTCTCTGTGTCTCTCTCAATCTCTGTTTCTCTGTCTCAGTCTCTCCATGTTCTCTCTCTTGTCCCCTGCCCCCAGACTCAGTACCTTCATGAGGGAGTCATACATCCGCTCAGTGTTGAGCTGCAGGTAGTTGCCGATGAAAGGCAGGGGCATAGGCCCAGGGGGAAGGCCGCTGCTAGCTTTCCTCTGTCTCCATACAGAGAGCACCATCAGGGCTGAGAGACAAAAGAATAGGGATCCCAGCAGCAGCCCGGAAGTCAGCATGGTGGAGGTGGCAGAGGCCTCACTGCAGTATTGGCTGGGGTTTGAGCAGATGTTGAGCCAGTACTGGAGTCCAGATAAGGCTGCTCCTGACTTTTATGCTTGGGCCTGGGGGGTGGAGATTGTCACCTGGTGCTGATATCAGCTCTTTTATGCAACATCCTCAGTTCTAACGCAATCTTCCCCTGAGCTCCAGGGCTGGTCAAATGTGAAGGTCACAGAGGGAGAGGGATTTAGTTCAGTAGAGACTCAGAGACTTGAGAATCCCAGGGGGTAAAAGTAAGAATGGAGCTTCAAATGGATAATATTGCCCAGAGATGGAGTTAGGGGTCTCAGAATGCAAGGATAGAAGTTGTGAGGGATCTAGTAATAGGACCTGGAGGGCAAGGTGTCTCAAGACTTGAAGATTAGGCTGTAGGGGGGTAAAAGGAGGAGGTAAGACTAGATCTATTACTGGCTGTGACCTTAAGTGAGTCCCTCCCTCTCTCTGGGCCATCCACTTTCCTTTCTGTGAGGAGAGAACTATGTGATCAGATAAACCCTAAGAATCACCTCCATGGGATATTTTCTGCAGCCATGGGACATGGGATCCTGCACCTATTGTTTACCAAGTATTCCTTTAAACACAATATTCACAACAAACCAAGAACTCATCCAAATGTGAGCTAAATAATTCTCTAACCCAAACCCCAATATATGACCCATATATACTTTGATCTAATTAGGGAGCTAGAAGGGGCAATAGTTAGATCTGAGGATTTGGAGTTGGGATCCTCTAACTTGGGGATCACCTAAGCTCTAACCTCATTTGTGTTCTTTTCTTTCAAAATTGTAGATGTGTTTTTGATGATAGACTTAAAATTATCCACAAATATGAATATTTCTGACCTCTTGATTTAGCAGATGAAGAAACTGAGAGGTGAAGTTTAGACAGCTAGCCAGTGGCAAAGCTCAGATTTGAACGCATGTCATCTGATTCTCTATCTGGGAGGGTGCCCATGGACAGCACCTCCAGTTTGGGTACCTGCCATATCTGCCTATGGGCAGCAGTTTGGGGGAGGAGAGAGGAAGTAAAGCTAGCAAGCACAAGTAAATGGATGATGATGGTTTTTAGGGAGATGCAGGGAGGGGCAGGTTAGGCAAGAGTTGGAAACTATTTGGGACTGACAATTATTTTCACCTGGGCTGACCAAGGTCCCAATGGCCCTCCTTCTCCTTCCCCTCTAGAGATAACCATAGGTACCTACTCTGTGAGGTCATAGCCTAGTAGAACTTAGGGTTGAGGAGAAGCCTAGGAAATCAGGACAATCTTTCTTAAGTCTACTTTTGGTAAGAGGGGGCCAGGGTGGGCAGGGGTACACTGGAAGGAATTCTAAGAGATTTGAATAACCATGGTTAGATTTTTGGTATGAGTGTTTATATCTCCGAAATCAGTGATTGCTCTAAATCAGGTCTTGATTTATTGTTTTGTTTATAATCTGGACATAAGGAATTATTAATAATGTAGATAAACTTAAAAGTGTGTGTTTCATGAGTGATGTCTCTCTGCCCTCCCCCCCACCTTCTCACTCTTGTATTGCTCAGTAGTTGATTGGTTTATTGTCCTTTTTCTAAAAGAATAAAATGATATCACTATGTTGGAGTCGAGGTACAGTACAATGAGTCTGACTTTGGTGATCAGACCAATACGAGGTTGGAAGGTTCTACCACAGATTGAGCCACAAATAGTCCAGATAAACATTTGGAGTCGAGATGTCTCTAAATTTGCACATCTAGTGTTTCTTTTGAGTTACTGCAATCCTGCTTTCTTCATTGAGCAGTGTCTCGATGCACCTTCTTTTATGAGGTCACACCATGCTGAGTGATCCTGTGCCAGTGTGTCCCATGTCTTATAATTGATTCACTCAATAAACAGTTTGTGAACTCAGCAGAAATGCAGTAGAAGTCTGCAGGGGTGAGGAACCTGCAGCCTTAAGGCCACATGTTGCCCTCTGGGTCCTCAACTGCAGTCCTTTGACTGAATCCAAACTTCACAGAACAAATCACCTTAATAAAAGGATTTGTTCTGTAAAACTGGACTTAGTCAAAAGGCCACACCCAAGGACCTAGTAGACCACATGTGGCCTCACGGCTGCAGGTTCCCCACCCTGGTAGGAAACAAAGTCAATGCCAGCCTGGGGGCTTGGTGATTCGTTGTTAATTAATCATATAACTTTAAGATGTGCAACATATCTTCCATCCATGATTTCATCTAAGCTTTGTAACACCCTACAATGTGAAGAGGTTGGAGAGAAATTAACTGGAGCAAGATTGATCTGTGTATGGGGTGTGTGTCGAAATGGAGAAGGGACTGACTTTGGAAGTCAGTGACCTCAAAAAGAAAAGCCTTGGCAATGAGAGGCACGGGTCTTGAGCCAAGGGTCAGTCAGGTCTAGAGTACACGCAAGAGCTCCTGAGATCAGACTTGGCTAAAATCTATCCCTGGCTCATGTACCCTCTGTAAACCTGGTTGACTGTGAACTCTGTGAAATGGAGTTGGATCAAAAGCCACCTACTTCTGCTGTCCTGGGAAGATCAGACCAGAGACCGACCATGGAACTTGGGGACTCCTTAACCCCATGCCTGCGGCAACATTGGATGATGGAAGGATTCAAAATTGGTCAAAGTCATGGGATCCAGCTCTGCTTCTTACTAACAGAGTGACTTGGGCGTCACTCAACACCTATGGACTTCCATTTTCTTTTTCTTTTCTTTTTATGTATTTCTTTTTCCCATAATTACTTCTATATACAAATTTTAACATTCATTTTTTAAAATTTTGAATTCCAAATTCTCTCCACCTTCCTTGAAAAGGCAATTAATTTGATATAGGTTATACATGTGCAGTCATGCAAAAGATATTTCCATATTAGTCATGTTGTGAAAGAAAGCAGATCCCCCCCCAAAACAAGAAAAAAATGATGGTTAAAAAAAGAGTATGCTTCAATCTGCATTCAGACTCCGTCAGTTCTTTCTCTGGGGATGGATAGCATTTTTCTTCATACATTTTTCAGAATCTTCTTGGATCATTGTATTACTGAGAATAGTTAAGTCATTCACAGTTGATCATTGTATTGTATTGCTGTTACTGGATACACTGTTCTCCTGGCTCTATTCACTTTGAATCAGTTCATGTAAGTCTTACCAGGTTTTTCCGAGAACAGCCCGCTCATAATCTCTTATAGTATAATGGTATTCCCTCACAACCATATACCACAACCTGTTCAACCATTTCCCAACTGATTGGTATCCCCTCAATTTCTAATTCTTTGCCACCACTATAAGAGCTGCCATAAATAGTACATATAGGTCCTACTCCTTCTTAAAAAAAAGCTTCTTTGGGATACAGACCGATTAGTGGTATTGCTGGGCCAAGAGTATGCATGATTTTATAACCCTTTGGGCATGGTTCCACAAGGGGGAATTAGGGCAGCTAGATAGTGCAGTAGATAGAGTGCCAAGCTTCAAGTCAGGAAGAATCATTTTCCTGAGTTCAAATCTGGCCTCAGACACTTACTAGATATGTGACCCTGGGCAAATCACTTAACTCTGTTGGCCTCAATTCCTCATCTATAACATGAGCTGGAGAAGGAAATGGCAAACCAGTCCAGTATCTTTGCTAAGAGAACCCAAATGTGGTCACAAAGAGTCAGGCATGACCGAAAGAACTGAATAATAACAACAAGGGGGGGGGCATCAAAGAGAGATGTGATGCACACTTTTCAAAATTATATTAAAGAGTTTACATGTAAAATTACGTTGATAATTGTGATGAAAGTGAAATTATTTTCCTATTTTAAGCGTCTACCTGATAATTTTAAGAGAAACAAAACTAATTTTCTAACTCAGACCCTCATAATGTAACAATTTGAAATTCTCTGAAGTTTTGGGTTAAATTTGTGTTTTAAATTTTATAGTCTTCTTACAGTTCTACTAACAAAATCAGAAAGATCAGACTGGGGCTAGAAAGTTGCATTAAATTATATTGAGTTTATATTGTCTTTTTACATGCTCTTGAAACCTGAGAAGCAGACCTGAAAGGAAGTGCCCCTTTAGATCTATCCTGATAAGATGGCTTGCTCCAAAAATGTCCAAGAAGAGTCATGACAACAACTACCTGGGACATAAGAGATGTTGAGATACTTCTTACATGGACATTGAGAGTGGGATACAAAAGAACTTTGTTAACCTCCTCACTTCTCTTTTCTTTTTTTGATTCAACAAGTATTTATTGTTCATTTATTGTGTTCAGGGGGCAAGTAGGTATTGAGAGCACTGGGCTTCTAGTCAGGAGGACCTGAGTTCAAATCTGGCCTCAATTACTTACTAGCTGTGTGACCTTGGGGAAGTTACTTAACTCTGTTTGCCTCAGTTTGCTCATCTCTAAAATGAGCTGGAGAAGGAAATGGCAAATCACTTCAATATCTCTGCCAAGAAAACACCAACTAAGGTCACAAAGAGTTGGACATGACTGAATGACTAAACAATGACAAAAATTGTGTTCAGGGTCCTGTGGACACAATGAATAAAAGTGCCTTTAAGAAGGTTATAATCTTGTGGGGAAGGACATTAGAATTGTACATAAATATGATGAAAGGAAAAATGTGCAGAATATGAAAACAAACACTGATCTAGAGCAGGGATTCTTAAGCTGAGTTCCATGAATTTGTTTTAAAAAGTTTGGTATTTCAATATAACTGGTGTCCTTTGCAATTTAATTGCATTTAAATTGATTTTAAAATATTTTAAAATATTATTGTGAAAAGGGACCCATGACACAAAAAGAGATAAAGTACCTTTGAGTAGGTCTAAAAAGCTCATTATCACCTCAGGGGCTATCTAATGTAACCCTTTTATAGGTGAGGAAACTGAGGCCATGAATATTGTGACTTCTCCAAAGTAGCAAAGCATCTGAAGTAAGGTATGAACCTAGGTTCTCTGACTCAGAATCATTCCTTTTCCTAGTGTACCTCATCAAAAGACCAAGATGGGGATCAGAAAAAGACTTCATGGTAA